GTATAGTTCTTTTGTTGCACCGACTTTAGTTTTATTTGAATAAAGAATTGTAAACGGCATTTAGTCCTTTGCTTTATTACAATAAAGAACAAATAAACTTTATTTTCTTTTCCATTATTTATTTAAAGTGATGTCATGTCATATTCTGAAACTGCTTATCCTGCGCACTATGAACGCAGTGGCAAATTGAGGACAGGCTTTCACGCCTATAAATTTATATCTGGACCCTAGAATTAGTGAAATACGGCCAATGAAGACAGATGAATGGTTATTTGTACCCCGATTAGTGCTGACCTAATCGGGATAGTTTAATTAGAACAGTATGATTAATGCCCATTAATTAATACACTTAATACCCAGCTATTAGATAGCTTTACTTGTTAATAAAATACTATTATACTATTGCAAGAACTCAATTTGTTCAAATAAATGAGAGCGTATCTAAATAACCCTTTATTTTTGTGGGGAACTCATCAAAATTGAAATCAAATTCCTCTTCCCTCTTAAGTCGGCCTTTTCTGTCAGAATTTTATTTATTTATTGATTTACCAACGTTTTATTACTTACATTATTACACAAATGGATACATGCATCAATTCTTTTAAAATGTAACAAACACTTAACGGTAAATACCACATATTAGAAATCATTACAACATTTAAATTATTGGACAATAGTAAATTTGTCTTCTGCTTGGTATATCGAAATTTAAAATTTTTCGGACACCTGATCAGGCCATCGTCTGGGACTGCATCCTCGTGGTCGTTTCCCAACCACTTTTTTATGAGCTTTTCCAAGATGTATAGATTAGTGTTGCTAAAACGTGGTAGCAATCCTGTTTTTAGCAATAGTTTAAAACAAGACACATAAAAATTGAATTAGTTATTGTGTTTTTCTATCAAAAACTGGAAGAATAGCATCGCTTAAATTATTTTGACAATGTACCTAGTTGACACTCAATTTTATAATTAAATAGACTTCAAAAGCAAACCGAAAAATAATTATTTTTAAACTACAAACACTGTTACATACATGATATGACTACAGACATGAGAATTACCACCCAATTTCAAATTAAGTTTATCTAATTTACTAGCCGGTTTTTTGTTAATAAGATTTTTTCCAATTTAAGTTTCTTTTTAACCGACTTCAAATAAAAAAGGTCGACGGCAATGTATGTTTTTTATGTATGTTCACCGATATTCCGTCAATTGTTGACCGATTTCAAAATTATTTTTTTATTCGACAGCTTGATGGACCGAGGTGGTCCAATTTAAATTTAATCTAAATCGAATTAATACTATTCCTTTTATATCACCTGAATATTAAGATGATATGTTATTTTAAAGTCGGGCGCCTATCGTTTAATTAATGAACTACAGAAGATCTCCGCCCAACGGCAATAGCATTTTCTTGAATAAATAGCTTTAGAGATAGGTATTACTTATCACTTTTTTAGAGTTTGAAGTCGGTTCTATTTTTATTCAATTTGAAAAACTAATTTATTGTAACTTGTATGTCCTGTTCATTAACACATGGTTTACGTAAGAATCTGTTGATATATTTTTTTTTATTCCAATATATCAAACACACTGCTAACATACTATTTAAAAAAACATATTGTAGGTTATAATTCATCTCCTATATCGACGGCAGCAAAGAACAAATGGACAACTACATTTTTGGTCCAATTCACTTTTTTGCGTAAAACGCATTAGTATACTCTATTTTATCTCGTAATGTTTTCTATGCTTGAAATAGCAATTCTTTTGGAGATTTACTCGCGTACATAAAGATAGCTAAAAACCAATTTCACAAAACAACAATATATATATATATATATATATATACGGAGATTCTTAGTAGTCCGCGTGTAATTCATTAAAACAAAAGTTTACACACACATGTCCGCTTTAACAAGGGGACATTTGCTTGGTTAAGACCTAGCATAAAACTCCGTGACTGCTTGAGACGAAAGCTTATGATATATGTAGATACGAAATCATCAGCAGCTTGTTTCTATTTTCAAACAATCCTATATGCTCACTACTCCGCGTGTTGAAATAAGCTCTTCCAACTTTACGCGTTAGTTATAAGTCTTTAATATTTACAAACTTTGATATAAGCACTGCATGCGGATTTTTTGTATGGGGATGAAACGGAGGATGAAACAAACGAGGGTCTAGTGATGTAGCCAGGTACTTGTACTGCTATATATCACAAGATGTTGTAAAAGATATACGTTTATGTAATGGATAAAAACTTATATATTTTTAAGTTGCTCAAAAAATTAATGTTTATATTTGCTGACGATTTTTAGTAAAGGGTTATACGTAAAAAGAATTTGACAGTGTCTATGCCTAATTGTAAGATCTAAAAACAAAATAAAATACAGCTCATGAATGGTATCACTTGTGTAAGATAATGTAAAGTGACAGGAGAACCTTACGAAATAATAGAAGTTATCTAACGATGTTTCTGACTTCAAATCTCATTTGAAACAATATATGTGGCTAAAGGATTCAAACAATGAAAATGTTACATAGATCAAATCCAAGAGATAAAACTAGTTCTAAGTGAACCCTTTGTAATTCATTAAAGATATGATTTAAATGAAGTGCTACAGACATTGACTATGTCTGTAGAATGTTTTCGACCAGCGAATACTAGATTCTATAACACACACACAGCCTCTAACTTCATTAAATTCTCTGTTAGTAAAACTTGATTCCTAAAAGATACAAATATATTATATTTGTTAAAATTAAAACACACATCTATAGAAGCGGCAGTTACTTTTTTTTAAATAATCTATATTTTCCTTAGAAGAATATTATGATGTTTAAAACTGGTTATGAAAAAATCCTACTTGAATTAGAGTAATGTTATTTTTTTAAAGTTATTTAGATCGATATATTAGGTCTGAATTAAAGACAGACCGGACAGTTTTGTTGCTTTGCTAATCTTCTTTGTTTATTTTGCTTCACAATACTTTAAAAATGTAATTGTTAAAGTATTTTCAAAGGTTTTATTATTTTATTACCAAAAAGGAGATACATAATTTAAGAATGGACGTTTATTTCGTAGTTGATTGTATCAAATACATTTTTATACAATAAGCTATTTAATATAGCGTTTGTTAATGCACCTGGAATTCATTATGATGGACAATAAAGAATAAAATTCCTTTCCAAAAAGTATTTAATATTTGCCTTTTTATATCGCGATTATTACATTAATCGTGTTTTAAAATCTCTTTTATTTTTAACTACACCGAACGAAGTACGTTGAAATAACTACAAAATGTTAGGGAAATCAGTCTAATTTCTTATATTTATGAATGCCGGTAAATTAATACAGTAAAATTGTTGACAATAACTGGTTTTTTAAATAAAACAATTTTTAAACGGTTTCATTGCGTTTGTATTTAATTTTTTGACGTTTCGGTCCCTTTTCAGGTTCCGTATTCACATAAGACTAAGGTGTTAATTGTTATTTAATTAAGAGTATAGCTACCTTCAAAACCTTAGGTTTTATGACTCATCAATTTTGTAGTTTAAAAGTTAAAAAGCCCGCCGTATACAAAGATATATAGTAGTTGACTCATTTAGAGTAGTTTTTGGTACGAGGTAAATAAAATCATCTGAAAGTTTCTCAAAAAGTACACAAAAATAGAATATTTGCGATAACCACTTGGTAGGTAATTTTTATTTAGTAAGCGAGTTTAATTAAGAAAACAATATTTGTTTATTATAAAAATTATTACACTTCAACCTTTAAAACGCTGCCCTGTAAAATCGTATTTTTTTATATCCGTATGTTCTTTGCGACCGTCGATATAGCTCTAGAGTCTTTAGAGTAATTGCAAAATCTTGCATTTAAATATGTTATATGGACGAAGTTATTGTGGATTATTATCATTATCACAGGCTTTCCCTATGGATGGAACACACATTAAAAAATCAGTAGAATTGAGATCTTCCTCCTTGTTTGAAAATAAAAATAATACTGACACAATGAAGAAGTAACAATCACGGTTTTCGTTGCTCAATACCATTAGTCATACCCTTTATATAATTATATTTTAAATCAAGTTTAAAAATACAATTATCCAACTCATAAAGATAACACCCAAGTATTTGCGTAAATATAATGCGGTATTCTAGATAATGCTATCTTCCAATTATGTCCGTTTGATCGATACCTGAATTTTAGCGATGTTATGATAAAAATTATCGTCTTTAGTTGATTTATTTCTATAGGGCAATTTAATAACAGTATTTCCTAGTAATAGGTTGTTTCGACGTGATATATGTTTTGCGTACGTACGCTAACATGCAGTCAGTTGATTTAGACATAGAACTGCATCCATTGGTACGTTATAACACGGCAAGTAAATATTAAATAAATATGTATTAAAATATTTTATTTTTCTCGGTCTAATATAAGTTTATACATAATCGCAAAACTATATCAATCGTAAACTGCAGTAGTCAGATAGATTTAAAAAAAGACTTCGGGACAGATGATATACCCGTAATAATATCTTAATAAATTTTGATGTAGAAATAATTTAAATTTAATGAAACAACTTTCAAAAGAATGGAATTAAATCTATACTTACATATTGTTTATTTATTGAGTAGTGTGCGTGTAAATATAAGAAATCATTAAGATACTTTAAATATAGCCTGAATTAAAAAAAATATGAGCACGAAAAAACATTTTCTCTTGCAAGTCACTAAAGGATCAAAACCTTAATATTAAATTTGTGATTTTTAACCCATTAATGAATTATCTTAATGGATGGCCGCCTAGCTTAGCTCTGTTGGTCAGACGTATGGCCCTTCTACGTCGACCTTGCGGCAAATATAGAACGACGCGTACTGTCGCCAACACAACGCCAGTACAATCAGCGAGATACCACTTATCAACTGAAAATGGCAGCACGATTACACTCTAATCACTTTTCAACCTTCCTTGTGTATAAAGTGTTTATTAAGTGCATACCAGTGTTTGACATTGTGTAGACGTTTTTATTTTCAGAATGTCGTCAACAACATCATTGGCTGGCAAAAAGTGTTAGTTGTATAAGAGTATTATTAGTGTTCTAATTTTGTGCTGGTGTGTGCTGGTTTGTTTGGTTTATTTGTTTTCTGAGTGTTATTAAGCTTTATCGACACGGTAAGATTAAAATGTAATGATAGAAAATTATTATGTTTCTTATTTTGTCGCAGAGTTAGCAATGCTGGTTTTTCACTTATCTCGATGATATATTTAATGTTGGAACACATTTATTTCTTTATAGGACTTAACAAACTAATGATGATGCGTATAAAAATAATGAAAACAATTTTGTTTAACTTTTTAAGTGGGAAAGGAAATGTGTCATGTGTAATTACGAGATAATAACGACAATTGTGTGGATAACCTCTCTAAACTGTTTATAATTTTAAGGCGTGACTTTTTAATGTAAAAACGGACAAGTGCGAGTTGAACTTGCGCACATAGGGTTCCGCACCGGACACGAGCAAAAAAAATCACGTTCGTTGTATTGGAGACCCCGTTAAATATTTGTTTAATTTTAATTTAATTATATCTTTGTTAAGTTACTATATCAATACCATATTCTGTAAATGTTTCAAGCGTCTACCTGTTGATCTAATCAATATCGAGCAAAAACAAGCAATAAAAATCACGTTTATTTTATGAGAACCCCTTTAATATATTTTATTCTTGTTTTTAGTATTTGTTATTGAAACGGCAATAGAAATACATTATCTGCGAATTTTCAACTATCTAACTTTCACGGTACATGAGATACAGTCTGGTGACAGACAGACAAACAGTGAAGTCTTAGAAATAAGGTTCCCGTTTTACCCCCTGTTTTTTCCCATTTGGGTGGCACACCATTTTATTGAAATCATCAATTACGTATAGCAAAAGTACAGTCTGTTCTTAAGTCAAGCAAAATAAGCGGTTTATAACAAATAGATATTATGTGAGCATTGATAAATATTTATTTAATCCAAGATCAAGTGCGAGGCGCATTATCTTTAAAAATATCACGTTTTTTGTATTGGATCCCCCTTAAAATATATTTCATTCCAATTGTTGTAACAGCGGCAAACAAAATAAATTGATCACTGGTAGCGAAATTAACAAGTGCTTTAAAATTCGTCAGTCCTGTTGGATCTCAATAGTTGGAACAGACTCCCGGTTGTGAACGGTTGTGGGTATCTGGGGTGGGTGAATTTTTAGGCACTTTAATAAAAAATACGTCAGCTATAATTATCATGAGACAGCATGGTGATAGACGGCCAAGCAGACAGACGGACGGACAAACAGAGGAATCTTAGCAATATGGTCCACTTTTACCCATTGGGTACGAACCCTAACAACGATACGTATCCCTTGAAGTACGGGGCGTATTTCAAAAATTACAGAAACATAAAAATTTATTCCTATGGTAAAATTCTTATTGCATGTTACTGAAACTTATGTAGTAGAAAAGAGAATGTTTTTATCTTTTTTAAATCAACATAGTTCTGTGTTTTATACCGTCTTAAATATTGCACGAATATAAATATTCCAGGCATAATTGAATTTAAAAATTAGTCACACGCTAGTCGGAATCATATATGATGGGTTCTGTAACATATGTTTTTACTTTATATGTTTCATATTTTTAATAATGTAAGCAAAAGCGATTTCTATTATATATTTTAAATGTTCACTTTAAAGAAACAAATATTGTATTGTCACGCGGTTTCTTAATTTATTTTTAAATACTTTCTCCAAAAGTTACTTAATGGTCTTAGAATTTAACGACTATATAATAATTTCTTTGAAGGGAAAATTCTGCAATCAGTACAAAATCTCAATACGAAACAGTGCAATACAATTATTACCTATTGTAAGAGGAAACGTGTATTTACACATGCTACTATAGGTATATGATATGTTCATCCCACTATACTCGACAGCACGTCGGACTATACAAAATCCACTTATAAACTATAATGCATTGCAGTTAGAGGGCAAAATCAGTTGAGGAAATTTAACCTGACATGCTGGTGCATGTACGATTGTTGTCGATATGCCTACCCGCGGTATGCTTATTACATATATGTTTTTAAATATCAAAAAATTATTGATATTGAAATATTAACTAATAATACCATTTTTTTCTTAATAATTATGAGAAGAAGTTTTTGCTCGGTCTAAAAACTTACTCCGCTGGTTTATTTTTGTTAAGATACTATATTTTCAAATGTCCACCTATTAAATTACCTATCGAAGAACCCTAAGAATCCTAAAAATTAATGACAAAGTATCACGTTCTTGTAGATCAATGACCTTACATTTTCATATGAAATTTATGATTCGAATAATCAAGGTTACAATCAATACTGCTGCAATACTTTGCGTGTCAAATAGAAATAATAAATACTTTATTACTGCTATTCGTAAGATTTGTAGAATTTAAATATGTGACAGTAGTTTTCATTTAATACGAGTATTAATTTCTGTTTCCTTAAAACATAGGTTTATTTATAAAATAAGTATGTAGTAAAAAATAATAATAATAAAATAAGAATGGTAACAATCACTGTATTTAAATTTTCTTGTGCTACAACTATTTTGTTCTATAATAATATTATTGTAACTTATTAACATGTAGTTATCACGATAAAACTTAATTATCTTTTCGATAGTGTTTTTAATTAGATAATGCTACGATTCAATACATATAATTTGTATTGAACACACGTGTAAAACATAGACTATGTACTTCAAGACTTAAAATAAAGGACGAAACATTACAAAGTTTTTGCTGTTGTGGTTTATCCTTTTAATCGTAATCCGATAATATCTGATATTAGTCATAGAGACATTTCAATAAAGACATTTTTGAGTACTAATATATATATACGGTGTTCATATATAATTATAATTTTAATAAAACTAATAGTATCGGTTTAATTATTCATAGTACCCTTTCTAAATTATCGCTTTACTAGCTCCTGTTCATGACATTTACCTATAATTTGTTATGATAAGGTTATTAACGGCATTTTATTCCAAGCTTAAGAAAGACGAATGGATACAGTGAACCCTATAATGGAGTTCCATTAATATCCTTTGAAAGTTCCTTTACCGATTCCTCTCAGTGAGATTTGTTCCCGATATAGACTGGTTATATACAATGTAACATTATAATTGTTAATCTGTCAGCATTAAAACTATAAACAGAATAAGTTCTCAAGTAAGTAGGATCTGACTAATCGTTTTTTTTTTTATTACCCATGTTAATGTTGCTTTGATTAAAAACATTGTTGGGCATAGATTTTGATAAAGTTAGAGCCTTAACTAAATACAATTTTAGTGATATCTATTAAAATCTAATGGATAATATCCATGGAAATAAACGTGTCCAATTACGTGTCTGAACTACTAAAAATTAAATGTATAATACTTGTAAACTCAACTAGCGAACAATTGAACGTCGGGACCAGACGGTTGTCCCACCGTACTATTAAAAAGACTTAACTGACTTGAAAAGAGAAAATTCATTTATTACTTGTATATTCTGCACTACTTATTTCTATATAATCACTTTATTAAAGAAGGGAGCTCTTTTTATTTAAAGTAAAGGATACAATTTATTTTTTATTAAAATAATAGCCACAGAATACACGGCTCTCTGAGTTCATTAAAATGTATATTACTTACAGCCAGTTGCAGAAACGTCCATTAAAACATACATTTATTTAATGTGACATTACCCATACAATTTTGACATTCATTAGAGCTTAAAGGAGTCATTAAACCTTAATGAACGTTTGTGCAACTCACCGTTAATTAGATATTAGAGCATATACTATTCGATTTATATTGGTTATACAAGAGCAGGACAGACGATGAAACAGTCCACGATATAATATCGAATGTTGATTTTAAGAGTACGGGGGTAATCTTGTTATTCTTTATTTTCATATTCTTACCTCATGTCCGAACAAACGGAGTAAAGCTCTGTTTACTGTTTCACCTACAATTTCTTTGGAACTTTCTTCCTTATCTCTTCATTACAAATACTGTCTGAGAATTTTATACGTTTAAATAAATTATTAATCACACGTTAACAAAATACCTAAGGACCTTATCACATGTATCATTGTTATATATGCAAAATAACTCAAACGTACAAAAGTACTACCAGTTCCAAGCAATTATAACGAAGAGGCGAATGTAACGCTATACACAGTTCATAAAAATATTACTTACTTGGCGGAAACTATTCAAAGAATTTTATGTTTATTTAACTTGGAAAGCGTTAAGAGGACGCATAACGTATAGCAGAAAAATATTAAATTGAATGAACATATTGATTACTCTTATAATTTATTTTCAATTAATCACAATCATCTAACTGGTTGACAGTTATGATTTTGCAGTGCTATTCTGTTAAAAATATAGCGATGAATGCAGCATGGAGAACAGTCCTGCCGTAGCATTATTCAATCAGATAAAACTTATTCTAAAAGCTAATAAAGTATTTTATTTATTCGAACTTTCTTTTTTTAATTAAATAAACAGCAAAGTGAGTCTTGAGGTGTAAATGTGATCACTTTAAAGGGTTAGATGTTCTCTTAACTTGCCTGACCAAGCATACGTTACTGTTTAATGACCTATTGAAAGTTTAACGCAGGCTGTTTCAGTTTTATATCTATTCCGTGGCTTCAATGCGGGTTGATAAGGTGCTTAATATGCGGGATTGAAGTTCAGCAAGAATCAGTTGCCCATGAGCAAAGTGCTGAAGTGTGATTTAGTAAAATGATTCTAAAACGTGACTGTTCGTGTGCGATATAAATCAAATATGTGCGGTCGTATAAAAATAATATATATGTACCTACGCATTGAGTCTATTGTCTGTGACGTCGTATGGTACTAGGACGTGGTCGCTAAATGTAGGTTTCATAAAGCTCAAAATCGCTCAGAGAAACTGTAGTGGCTATGGGAGGCCACATAGCTTTTAGGATAACGGCTGTTGGGACAGTAAAGCGTTCGAGTAGCGCGTAGGCAGATCTCTCCCAAGATAGGTAGATCGACGATCTGCATGCTTACTCTCGAACGCAATCGTTATCGATTGATATTGCAATTATGACGTTTGGTACTCTCAATTTGGTACACTAGCGCCAATTGGCTCATTATTGCGTAATTATTTAACGAACTAATTGACATTGAATGAGGATTGAGTCTATGTTTCAAGAGTACGAGCTAAGATTTGATGAAAATTGAGATCGTTATTAGATTGGATTGAAACTGACATTGTGATTGCATTCAAGAATAAGCCTGCAAGTCAGGATTACCGGAAAACGTTGGATGAGGACGTTTTCTGGCGGCAGTAGTCATTGCATATGACCATAGTCGTGGCAGCCTGGAGATCTTGTATCGCAGGTAGAAGTAGGTCGCATTTATATTTTCATTCTCATATATTAATTTTTTATTCAATTTTTGGATATCAACATTTGGAATACAATGATAAAGCTTTAGTGAAAATCTAAAATCAATTATAAAAATCGTTTACAAATACTCTTTCAATCTTGGCAAATATAAAAATTACTGCAATTCGTACTAATCGTATCGTACTTCACTGATACATCGTTTGCACGAACACTGCCGTGAGCAATTTTAAATAGTATATATTTTCTTTGGTTCGATTCAAATGCCGAGTATTTGACTTACAAATTCGGATAGTGTATAATTAATATATAGATATATCCTTGCATATATAGACATTTCACAAACAAATATACGTGAGATGATAATTGAAATCTCGCTGTACAAATATCAATTTTGGTCTTTATGCCTCTGATTTACATAAACTTAAACCAGACCGGTGGAAATAAAATTAACTAAAACTCGTTTAGTACTCGGTACTAACCTATTCATTTATTAGACAGAACTTCTACAATAATTCCTTTTGTTAAATTTCTCAACGTATTTATTTTAACGCTTTTCATAGAATTTTCATGATTCTGATTCATTATGATACACTAGAAAACATATTTATTTCACGAAAAAAGTTAAAATTTGTTTAAATTATTAATGTATTTAAAAATAGTCCCGAAAAATGTGCGAAAAAAAGCTACACCTGCTTTCTGCTCTGCCTAATAACCGATTTGTAAATTCTCTTGAAGGCAAGAGGCACAATTTTATTTTAAATAGAAAAACAGCGAAGAAATGTGAATCCAGTATGAGAAATTATCTAGGACGCACAATCGTCGCTTCCCGAGTCCAAACAGGTACTGAGATTGGCACCCGCGTGCTTTGCAACGGTAGCGTTCTTATCAATACTCACTCATACTATGTTCTGTAGTGTCTGTTTTTCGCTTGTCCTAGAAAAACATATAAATATGTACTGACCTGCTGCGCATATTTTAGCTATAATCCTACATATGAAATTAAATATTACACTAAGTAATAATCTTGAATGAGAACTGTGCTTAAAATTAATAATTATTCTATACACAGCAGCACATTAGGTTATCAAAACATGATAAATGTCAAAAATTGAATGGAAGATTAAGGGTCATAACACATTTACGTTGCACGGCTCCAACCCACTATTAACTTATCATTTAAATTTGACTATATATTCTTATTTCATAATATACTTCATAGTATAAAACAATGTCACTTTCCGTCTATCTGTCCCTGTGTATGCTTACATCTTTAAAATTACGCAACGGATTTTGATGTTGTGTGTGTTTTTTTAATAGATAGGGTGTTTCAAAAGGAATGATTTTATTTTTATGTATAACACATACATAGTAAAACTGGTTAAAAAAATATAAAATAATAAATAGCAGACAACTTCAAGTTAGGTGGTCCCGGTGGGATTGCGTATTAACGCATTCCTCCCTTCTGCAGATCGGCGGACGAGGACTGACACCCTACCCGCTACCATGGGATTAGCATGCGGGGACGATCCATAGTCTGGGAAAAAACTGTTATTCACCCAAGTATTTTTAGTCCCGCGGAGGGCGCCTCCTTTCTCCCCCAATAGGAGTCCCAGCTTGACGGGAGAAACCGGGCCCTATCCTAGGATACCGGATTCTTCCTACCCGCGTGAGGTGAACCGCAGCGGGTAGTACCAAATAGGACTTCCACACTAACCTGCCTTTTTCAGGGTGGGCTGGAAAGGGAGCCTTGGTTTAAGGTTTAAGGTGTATTTCCCCTGCGTTAACAAAATAAAAAAAGTTAGGTGGCCCGCGCCCTATATGCGTACTTACAGCCCGCTGACGGCGAGCCAACCAGGCGCATCGACACCCATAGAAATAGTTTGTAACTTGCGACGTACGAGCTTGCGCCTTGCGGGCGACGCGTGTTCCATGCTGCAAGCTAGCAGAATCAAAATTCGTCGCTGTAATTGCTAAGCCATTTAAATGTGCTAAGACCTTTAGATATAAAAAAATCTTAGCCAATCAGCCAGCTGCACAAACGTCCATTGAAATTTTCAATAAAGCGACATTACTCATACAAATTTTGACATTCATTAGAGTTTAAGGGTGTCATTAAACTTTAATGGACGTTTATGCAACTGAACGTAAGTTATATAAATCTGACCAAATCCGTTTTTGTTATTTCCAGTAGTTCTCAACAGCCTCTTAGAGACGGACCATTACGAGAGCTTAATCAAGGATCTAACATGCACCAAATGTCACAAATACATGAAGCCACCGATTCACCTCTGTGTGGATGGCCATAGCATATGCGGCACATGTTTCGCGAAGAGTTACCAATGTCATGTGTGTCAGGTAAAATATCACTAGTCTTATGTTACGGTAGGTTACGATCTACTTAACCAAGTACCTCGCCCGCTAGTTTTAAGGTGTTTTTAAGTGTCTATCTCTGAAGTCCCGGGTTCTATTTCAGGTCGGGTCAATGTGGAAAATTACCTTTTCTATATTATCCCTGCTCCAGGTGTTGTGGATTTTCATTGTTTCATATACTCCATAATACGAGTGCTTGAGTTAATCATCATGGCATCTGAGCAATGCATTTTATGTTGTCTAATATTTATAGACTTTTTTGAAAATATTCAACCATGAAATAATAAATCTAAAATATATTTATTCTATAAATAAAAATACTTTGCCAATTTTTTTTTTAATATGCATAACTTGAATACAAATAAAAACTTATATCATTCTTTGAAAAAACAATCTTTTATTTAAAATAGAAGCTTTTGTGTCTACACAAAATGAAATAAGTCCAAACTCGACAGGGTTACGTTATTTAATAACAATTTTTTATTCAGTTTCATCATCAGACCTTTAATATTATCTTAGACCAAGATCCTCGTCAAAACAAATCAAACAAGACATAGCTTGATGAACTTTCTTCATTTAATATTCCATGACGATTCAGCGTAGAAATCAGCTCTTTTAAATTAGTATTGCATTCTCATCCAATTTTGATATATATGCAAAATTCCAGCTCAATCGAAAAACTGGGAAGTGGGTCTTTGGCTTGCAAGATTTATTGACAAACAAATATGAATAGGGTTAAACCATCATGACATGACCCACCACGCGGACTCAGTGCGGCCTGCTGCAGCCAGGACCAACGACTTAACGTGCCTTCCGAATCACGGAGAACCTTGAGATAATAAATTTTTATTCACTTATCCTATGACAAGCCATTGCTTAACAACCGTATCGCTCGTATCGACCGAATGCTCTAACTACAGAGTCATCGGGCTCCTCAATAAAGCTAACTAAAAGCTTGTATTAAAATGGAATTGTTATTTCAAAAAATAACTTATAAAGTTTAAAACATACAGCCTTACCAATAAGTAACGTATAACGTTATATAATTATACCGTATTTTATCTGATTATTAAGGGCACTAGTGTTTAGAAAACTGAAGACGCGAGTTCAAGTTCCTTCTGGGGTGTATTTTTTAACCAACATCATCTTAATGTTAAGTTTAAGTCATCTTATCATTTTAATAACAACTAGCTTTCCGCCAGCGGCTTCGCTCGCGTCTTCCTGTATTAGACATATAAACATTCCTTTTTAATAACTGTGTAGTATACTGTAAAGATCTCAGCGTACAAACAGCTTGATGCAACTTAGTTTTATATTATATATAGACAAGTATTTCCTCTTTATTATGATGGAGATAACAATGGTATTTTCTCAAGATAATCTTCCACTTGTTACATTAATGATATGAAAAACAAAATAATAAAAGAAAATGAACAGACCAATAGGAAAATTAGTGACAATAATGTTAGAGACGTGTTCCGGCAAGGGCTATTATTAGAACATATTTTCTTGCTAATGGCCGACTGTGCGTGAACGACCAAGCCGATGAATAAGGCACATCTGCAAGTTCACATCAGCTTTTTTCCGGATGTTCTTTCTCTGTCTTTATTTATATTATTTTGCGCCTCAGATTTGGAACTGAGAAAATGTATAACAATATCTGTAGGTATTCTCGGAGTTTTATTTTCTTTTGTTGTCGTCCTGACAAATCATAAAATAAGTTTCTTATGTCAGGGTTCGTAGCAACGTTTCTCAAGCTTAGTTTTTGTTTGAGAATTTTTTTATTTGAGCTAAATTGACAAGGTTAAATGAAAGATTGCATTATATTGTGAAAAATATAGTGATTATGATATTCTATTTTAAGATATCTTGCAAATATAAAGCCACATTTTAATAATACCGTTTATATGTTTCGTTGTATCTGCAGAAACTTAACAGCAAATATAGATTAAATTAATTTAAACTATAATTAAAAAGCGCCTTTAATTTTATGGTAACTATTAGATTCGATATTCTTGCATCGACTTTTAATTAAAATCTTTTTCAATTTACAAATATGATTCTTATAGTCCATAATTTGTGTATCACTTTACACAAATTATGGACTATAAGAATCATAATAATAGACTGAAACATAGTTGATCGAGGGCAAACTAGAATATGCCGTTTTTATTAGTATACTATATTAATCAGTATAATAATAAGACTCATATTTATTTGCATTAATAATTATTAGCGATTGTTTTTAGCGATACGATGGTGGAATATACTTTTTCTTTACCAGTACGTAAAAGTAGTAAAAATACCAATCAGTAGTTAATTTACACTATTTGATTTTTTTCAGAAAGAATTTTCCCCAGTTCGGCCAATGGTGCTTGAATCATTAGCCAACAAAGTATTATTTCCTTGCACAAATAGCGGTTGTCCAAAGCATGCAACCCTGCCTCAGTTGGAGAAGCACGCCCCTCACTGCCAGCACAGGATCATCAGCTGCTTTATGTCGAGAGTATATGGTAAGTGACTGTAGTAGAATCTTCAAAACGATAGTAAAGAACGAAATTTCTAAAAACATTAAAGTAACATTAGATAGACCTCAAATACCTACATAATATACGACATTCACACAGCATTGTTAATATTCCGGCCTTGGTAATAAAATACTATATGGTATAATGAAACATTTTACTAAATGAAACTTGAATTTAGTTTCCCGTATTTAGCCCAAAAGCACTTTATTATAACATATATTTGTTAAACGTAAACGATAATACTAATCTTTAATTTGCAAACTATTATTTATTAATACCCAGTCGTAAAACATAATCAGATAACAATCAAGTAGTTATACAAAATAAAGAAAAACTTTAAGCAACTGCTGCAGATGAATTTATTCGGTATCATCATCAGCCTTTTTACGCCCCCAATGCAGGGACTCAGGCCTTCCTTATGGGTGGTTAACGAGAATAAACCATGACTCTCCACGTTGACCCAATGCGGATTAAAGATTGGAGGGTATTAAAGACTGCACATGGAGCCAGGACCAACGGCTTCACGTGCCTTCTGAAGCTCGAGATAATCACTTTTTGGTCACCCAACCCGTGACCGACTCCTGAGAAAGTTCCTTAACAACTACGTTCGTGGGCCGCGGAACTTATCTACCACGCTCCCGAGCTACTCGGTATAAATTCGGTGTGAATTCTTAGGAAAAATGTAACTCTATCACCACTACTATTAGAAAAGCTACCGTTATTAGAAATTTAGTTAGAGCTTGTGAAATAATAAATCGAGTAGCACCGTCTAAATCAGACACTAATACGAAAATAATGGTTATCAGCGAACCGGTAATAAAACCGGAACATCATTTACCAGGAAGCAATTACTAAGCAGCTCTACTTTTCTAACATCCCGCCGGATGTGGAAGTTCGTGTGCTCGAAGTGCTAAGTACTAGATGCAGCTTGTTACTCAAAATTACAAGCATTACTACGTGCTAAACCATGAATGGATAGTTGTTTCTTGATAGATTAAATAGGATATTCTGTTAGTCTGTGCTACTTGTGATTAGTTTATATTAATTGGGATTAAGAATATTAAGTTCGTGTTTTAAATAAATATTTTGTCTTAACTAATGATTCACGGAGATACATTGGGTTTATATATCGCATGACGTACCTTTACCTATACCTTTGTACATTTTTCACATAGTTGTGACGTAGCGAGTCCCCACTCCTTAATTTTAATGACTATTATCTAAGCTTTTATTTATTGTTAAATTGAATGAATATCGTCTTCAATGAGCAAGATTTAATGGATGAATATTTTCTGTATGAAAATATTTATATTTTACAGGCGATTGCAAATGGAAAGGCAAAGCTGGTGAATGGATGGACCATTGCTTCCTCGAGCACAAACAGAAGGTGACCGATCTGCCCTTCATCACCGTCAAAGACAGATGGGACGCGAAGAGAACCGAACCAGTGCTCAACTATTTCCTACTCAGATGTTTCGACAAAGTGTTCAACGTTTACCAAATTTATGACAAAAGAGGTGGTAAGCAATAACACATTTATACTGGTTAATGTGGCCAGTGCGCGTAGGGAGGGAGACTTCTAAGTGCTCATCTCATAGGTCAATATATAACAATGACCGAGCAGCAGAAATCGCCTGCTAATGTAAATACGCAATACTGTAAACTATGTTCTTAGATAGGTAACATTAAAAAAAAAACAAATATGGTGGCTGTGCGACGCCATTAAATTTAATGACATTTTTTTTGGTTCAAATACTACAATATGAGTATCAAAATAAAGGGCTCGATACAAGGATTCAAAATAAATTATATGACGGTTTTCATTATCGTAATACCAATAAAAATAATAGAATGATAAAGTTTAAAAATATAGGATTAGTTCTTCGACTTTCTGTATCAACCTGGTAATTTGTCTTATTAAAAAGACATAAATAAAATTATAATTAAAATTAAAAAAAAAAACCCGCCTGCGTGAAAAACAACTAACTGATAAAGCTGGAAAAGATAACAAAATGCAACATCATACATAACATGCAGTCGGAGGCAAGAACAAAGAGAGAATGATTTAACCTATTATTCAATTTCATTTTCAGTTATATTTTTTATTGTATGTTTGACACAGATATATGTCATCTCATACACGCATCAAACAATATAGCGAATGATTTATTGAATACATTTTTTAAACTAACATAAAGTTGGTTAAGACCTCTTTGTCTTAGATCTTGAAAAAGACATTGTCTTAGATCTTGATTTTGGCGTATACTACCAATCATCACCAGCCCTTTTACGTCTCCACTGCAGGGGCTCAGGCCTTCCTTATGGATGGTTAAGGAGGATGGGCCATGACCCTCCACGCTGACCCAATGCGGATTGGAGGGTATTAACGACTGCAAATGCAGCCGGGACCAACGGCTTAACGTGCCTTCCGAAGCACGGAGTAGCTCGAGATAATAATTTTTTAGTCACCCATCCCGTGACCGACCCTTGCGAAAGTTGCTTAACGACTACATCCCGGGCCGCGGCGCTTATCCACTGCGCCACCGAGCTACTCCTTTATCTACTTATAATTAGATCAAACGAACTTTTTGAAGGGAAATTCGATTAATTTAAATGAGTCATATATAAGGGGTTGTAGGATAGCTAAATAATCTGAAAAATCTTAAACACAGCATGTGGTTGCCGTCGCAAAATTCCCTTCTTGTAGCATCATCCTTTCTATACGAGAAAATTCCAAAGATTGTAATCTAAATTCCATGTTGAGGCCAAAAGTATACTGGTTTGATAAAAATGGGATAATAAACTAAAAACGTCACATTTATCTAAGAGTTATTTTTACCCAATTACAGCCGATTATTAAAACGGAGGACTAATATTTTGACTAGCGTTTTGACCAGAGAATATCAAACATTGAACCTTTTTATTAAACCAAAACTTACGGTGCCCTAATACAAAAGCAAAAATAGTTTAACTTACTATGTTTAGCCGAGATGTTCGTACGTCGGTTTCAAGGTGTCGCCATCTCTGAGGTCCCGGGTTCGATTCCCGGTCGGGTCAATGTAGAAAATGGACTTTTCTATATTGTTTCGAGTCTGGGTGTTGTCGTACCTTCGTTGTCTCAGATAGTCCGTAATACGGGGGCTTTAGCTACTCATCTTGGAATCTGAGCAATGTATGTAATGTTATAACATATATTAAATATAAACTAGCTTTCTGTCAGCGGTACTGCGTTAATTGCATCTTGATTCATTGTGTATGTTGATGAAAAGCGCATTTAAATCCGTTGTGTAGTTTAAAAGATTTCAGCGTACAGACACCGGGAAGTGTCTTTGTTTTATAGTGAATTTGCGTAATTACATTTTAATTTGAAAATCGATTTCAGGACGGATGATGTGGACTGTTCTTGTGAATGATGACCAGGCGGACAAATTTTATTTCGAAGTTGATATATTCATGCCAAATCTTCCAAGCAAAAGAATTGTCTACAGGTAATAAACCCCCATGAAGTATGTTTAAAGATGACCGTCCACTGAGTCTGTACGCACGCGACCGGCGCACTGTACGCAACGTTTTGTATGGATTTGCCGAAGTCAGACGGCCATTGCATCCGGATTTCTAAAATAAGTAACACTTAACTGTTTTGATATAACACTGTGGAGTAATGTATAGTAAACTGTATGGAAGAATTACTGAATAACATCATCGCCGTTTTATTTGCTCACATAACGCGTATTTATGGTCGATATGGATAGTGGACGGAGTGCTATGCTATACTATAAGCGGCCGTTGCGTAAGTGCGGACACAGTGGGCGGTCAGCCTTAGGGCCGCCACATACCTGACGGAAATTTTATCAACCGTCTCAAGGCAGAATGGCTTAGGTTAATAGCGACGGATCCAGCGTTGAGTGCACAAATCCCATAGTTGTTGGTACTGCCATTCCGCAATCGATAAATGATCATACAAGTTCCGTCAATTTAGCGGCTCTATTATTGCTTTAACAGATCATAATAGATATCTCACCAACAGCATTTTCTACACTTCGATTAACATAGTTATCATTAAAAACAAGAATGAAAATTAATATACGATTTCATTGGAATAGCAAGAAATTATACCGGTGAATTTATCATACGAATCTTGCCATGTAAATGTTATCATAATGCTTACAAACTTCGTTCAAATATACACTTATTTCCTCGGGGAGCGTTATAAATTGTGCAATTTGCGGAAAAATGTTACGCGCAACGCAGAGAGAGCTCTCTTATAAAGTGTTTTATCTCTTTCAGACGTCCGTGTAAATGTGAGAAAGATGCTGATTTCTTAGAGCACACACAAAACGTTTACATTCCTGTTGAAAATGTCTTCTCGATGCTTGATGAGAATGAAAGTATGAATTTCACAGTGCGAATTGGTATGTTTATATTTTCTTTTAATTTTTTGATTGAACATTGCCAAGGTCAAGATTCAAATATATGACAGTGTTGTTTTCAATAGTGTAACTTTCCTGATCAATAAAAATAGTCACACTATATATTGAAGTATCGACAATCGAAAGTTCGCAAACAGTAATTTAATAATACTGTTACTGTACCTACTAAAGACAACTAATGCAAAATTGGAATATATATTGTTGATCAAAATTCAATAATATCAGTTATTTAATAAATATCAATCTTCACGAACATTACCTCCTTATTTCTTAAAAACGATATTTCTACCCTTATCCTGATTATAGTTATCTATATACAATTACAACAACACAATAAGATAATTATCATTCTTCATGAGAAACCAATATATACTTATTTTACAGGAGAAGTCGAGAACCTCCCACTTCTGGACACACCAACGGAAAGTGAGAGTTTAATTTTGTTACAAAATGATGACCAAAAAGCAAATGGTGAATAGATTAAAGATGAACCTTAAATATTCATTATTAAAATCTATCAAGATACAAACTCTTTATTTGGAAGCCAACAATTTTTATTTATTTTTTATACCAATACTAGTAAAAAATAAAATAGTTCAGTATTTGTAATGACATTATTACAACTTTGACAATATTACTCATAATATGGTATGTACATTTTGAAATTAATTAGGCTACGAATAAAACTTAATAATTCTTATTTTAAGTCTTATTTTTTCTAGTCTTATCCTTTCATTTTCAAATTGTCTAAATTTAAAATTCGCGATGTTTTTCGATTAACATTGAATGAACAATACCGTTAATTTGTCGTTAATTGGAATTGTCTTAGGCAAGCGTTAGACGCAAATATCCTTCACAGCGATTAAGAAATGTCATATGACAGATTTCAATACTAACTGCCATCTTAGGTTAAGCTAATTATGTTTATTAAATATTAAAATCAAAATTCTTTCGTTTACAAGAGTTATTGTTGTATTTATAACGCATATGTGCCTGTCGAAAAATGGTCAAGCCTATAAGTATAAAGTATAGAATTTAGTTAAGGATTGAAGAGTAACGACACGTATAGTGAAAAACTTAGCTGTACATAAGATCTGCAACCTTTTTGACAATGCGAGCCAAATGACGCCTAGGCAATATTTTACTTAAAAATATTTTTGGTGGTATACCATTGTTAGGAAGAGCCGGGCCTCGTTCTACAGATATCATCATATACTCACTGGGTTCTTTCACTGTTATTTTTATTTTAAAACTTTAAGTAGCAAAAGATACTCAAATTGTCATATCACGCTTAATAGAAAAGTAAAATTGTCTGTAAATCACGTGGTAGGTTAAATATTGACCTAAAAAAGGTTTTCTTTTTCTTCTACAGAAATTCCACATGACATATAAAATTAATTTGATAATATGAATATAAATTCCTTTATTTCTTATTAATTATATGATTTTCCGTATCGTCAAACAAAGAATTTTGCGGAAGCGTAGAACTAAGTCTTGTTCTCCCCCTCGCTCCCCGTTTAATATACACGTGTATTGCGCATTTATAAAATTGCAAAAAATTACATGACAATTATTATAATGTCGAGACTGTAATAAAAAGTTCAAATTTATATTTTTTTTGCACTAAGTTGCATATATCAGACATTATGCATAATGCACGGGTAATTTGAAAATTGTTATTACTTATTACTTCGTCCATAATACCATATAAAATTAATAACTCATAAAAAGATAAATTCATAGTTACTTTTTATAATTTATTTTTGTTAATTGCTTTCAGACAATTCGAGTCTAATGAAAAAAAGAATAAGCTTTTGTTAATTCTACGTAATTGAGTAGCAAGTTTGCTGTCCACTTAGCTACTCTCTGTTTCGACTTTTATGATAAAACATTAATCTTCGAGACGTTTTAGCTTATTGCTATCGTAATTTTAGCCTCAAAAGAATAATTTGAAATTGTATTAGACTTTTGACTCGAACGGCCATAAAATACACTAATTTGTTTCGTCTTTGTTGATTATTTTGGGATAGGTTTTTTTGTAAAACATTAGATTTTACAGAACCTAACATAGAACACAGACTTTAAATATACTCGTAAAAATATCGATTACTTGATAAAGTTTAATAGTAGATAAAAAGAACGAGACAATCCCAGTACTTTCAAGGTGGCCCACCGCTACATTCGTTTCTATTAGGGTGACATTCCATTTAATCAAAATGCACTCAACGAATAGTTGAGTACATTTTCAAAATGATGTATTGAACGTAGACACTGTTATAATATTTGATTAATTTTGCATTCACAATGCTATACTTAAAAAATATTCTTAATGAGAGATGCTTAAAAAATCCAATTTGTTATTCACACTGAGATGGGACTCGGACCCATCTCATGATGGGCGACACTGTATCAACCAATACGGTATCGAATCAAATTTATTTTTACCTAATTCAATAAAAGGAGCTCGGTGGCGTAGTGGATAAGCGCCGCGGACCGCGATCGTTATTGTTAAGCAACTTTCGCAAGGGTCGGTCACCGGATGGGTGACCAAAAAAATATTATCTCGAGCTATTTCGTGCTTTGGAAGGCACGTTAAGCCGGTGGTCCCTACATTTGCAGTCGTTAATAACCCCCAATCCGCATTGGGCCATCCTCCTTAACCATCCATAAGGAAGGCCTGTGCCCCAGCAGTGGGGTCATAAAAAGGGCTGATGATGGTAATAAAAGAAAGTTATATTTATCAATATGAACCGGATTTAACTAATGAAATAGTAAAGTTAAATCCACAAAAAGGGATCAAATAAAAGTTTACAAAAGTTAAAATTTCAGTGTAAAACTAGTTTTCAATTTGTGCTCCTTATGCTGTGGTAATACTTTAGCTAATTTTTAAGAAACAAAACCCATTATATATTTATTAAACCATTCGCCAAACATTTTATTTGTGTAAATATAGATAGGTTTCACTTTATCATGTTCGAACAGATATTAACTTTAAGAGTTTTTTATTTAGTTTTTTTCCGTTATCTTTTCAGCGAGCCCTTTTATCTGATACCCATACTAACTGTTCCCGTGATTTAGCAATCCTCAATTACAGCCTATGTCACCCCCGCAGGTTGCGTTTCTCGTTAATTTTTCATGATCAGAGAGATTCCAGAGATAACCCCTACAAACAAACAAACGGAAACTTTACTTCTTTTTATTGTTAGTATAAATTAAGAGCAATCTTAAAACATACCAAGGCCATCTTGGACCGTCATTATTAAATTTAATGTTTTTAATGTAAACAAGCAACTATCCTAAACCTGTAGTTATTAAAAATTTGACTTGATCTGAAGGTCAAAGATAATCTTTAAAATTCAGTTGTAATATTTAATAATATACATACATTGTAAGTTTAAATAGAAGCTTGTAAACTCAGTGTGTAGCTTTGATCTGAAAGCCGATGTTTGCTAATGCTCCGCTGAGCATTCCTTTTACGATGAGTGCATGACTACGAAATAAAAACCAGCCTCGTATGTGGGCCGTGGATAGTATAAGGTTCCGTAGTTGCCCGTTTTATATTAACCACTTGGCGTAGGGAACAATCAACTTTGACAAAGGTCAGTATCTTCTAAGCTTCCAGTATAATGCCGTGTAAGTGAACTGGAACCGAAGTAAAGCGAAAGATTAGAGACATGACGAAACGTTGTCTAATAAGAAAGAATGTCCTTTCACCTTGGCATTGCAACAAGTTTGCGATCGATAAATATTCGACAGTTTAAAAAATAATAAAATATACACATATGTACATATATTAAACAACACCACATACATTGCTCAGATTTCGGGATGAGTGGCTAAAGTCCCGTACTATGTAGTATCTGTAAGTATCACAATGTCCAGACCCGAGACAATACAGAATAGTCCATTTTCTATATTGACCTTACCGGTCATTGAACCCAAGACCTCAGAGATGGTAACATACTGATCAAAAATAATATGACTAGGTATCTTTAGGCACTCTATATTTGAATCGTTCGTCTTGCATCTAAGTTTTATTTACTATTAAATTTTCATTTAAGAAATCCTCACCTTTCGACTGCGACGATTGCTTTCAACTTCTCACCAATGAAGTTTTCACTATTTAATGATAGAATAAATGTCAACGCCAAAACTTCATCCTTTTTAAATATAGTGTATCCTCACACACATACATTTGGCAAATAGTAGATATATAAATAAGACATAAATCATGAAAGATTACTTCCAGGTCATCTAGATATAATTTCAATAGTACATATTTGCACCTTATATTCCTAATAAAAGATGTATTTTTCAGACATCTAAAAAGAGTGTCAACTATATTTTAACTTTTCGAGTTTCCAAAGAAACTATTAGTTAATACCTATGAAAATCATTATCGTTGAAATATGTTACGTAAAATATACATTTCGCTACTGGAAAAACTAGAGCATTACTATAGTATTACCAGTTAATTTGGAATAAAAACAAAATTTCTGATTTAAAATCGCTCAATTTTAAATTGAGCCTCATAACTTGTTAGATTTCAGACATAGCCATCTCCATATATTATTGCTTTTGAGAATTTGTTAGGCAAAAATGTTTAAATAAGTAAATAGAAAAACTTCCAAACCAGCCTCCATATATAAAAAGAATTATCGTAATCGGGACGTGCAAAGTTATGAAATTATGAATCTCCTCCTTCTAATCGGTTAAAAACAGAGAAAGACTGTCCGACATAGAACCCTAAACTCAATATAACGTCAGTACAAACGTTAAACCAGTTTGTGTATAAATATTGCCTTCGTCAAAAGGAACGCTACAATATTCCGCAGGTCCTTTACAAATCACAGTAAATATTGTATCGTGAAGTATTTTTCGATAAACCAACCTCGACTTGGCTAAGCAACAATAGTTTCGTCTCGTTTCTGATATCGCTGGCTGCCGGATTGTTTATTCCCTTTTTATACTTTCAACCGTCGGAAGCAAACGAACTGAAAATTTCCAGCTCAAATAAAAATATATTGATGAAGCAATCGATCCCACACAAACCATTAAACTTTAAACGTACCGATAGAAAATATCGGAAACAGCAACTGGGACAAAGCGGAATATTCCTTTCGTAACTATTATCTGGGACGTACTTCGCAAACCGTTTCACTCAATTATAATACAGAATATTTTATAGAATAAAAAAAGTCTGACGTTATAACTTTTTAGTTATTTTACTTCGTCTGTATTTCTAGTATAATGTTGGATATGGTTTATTTTTTATTTGATAATCAGCTAAGGATAGCATATAGTAACTAAACTGCGATGCACATAAAGAGAGTGCAACTGAAAAAGAAGGCTGATTCTGTTTTTAATAGGCCATTGTTCTAATTAAATAGGAATTCAATTTATTAAATATATTTTCATAAATATATCAGGTTACCGATTAAGTAGCTTTATTTGTACAGACTTTAACAATTAACGTGGACTGCTCACAATAAAATATGCTTTGCTTTTTTTATTAGTTTTTAGAATATTCAGTATCAATAAAAAGGCTGGAAAATTGATGCTTATAAAAAAAAATTGCTTTTTTTATTTGTTTTTATGAAATTGTAATACAGGTAATGTTTCATTTAAGTATCGTTCGTGTAAAATAATAAAATATCTAATACCATTTCTAATTTATTTTGTCTCAGTTGAAATAAAG